TAAAAATAAAATAAAATAAAATAGCACATTCCTCCCCATTCCTCACAGCCGTGGGTATGGCACAACAGCAAGTAACCTGTCGCTGCCTGAGTCTCTAGAACTGCCCCCCGAACCTGGCCCAGCCCTTGATTCATCCCATATATACGGCTCCGGAAGTGGCATTCAGGGCTTTTCCCGTGCTACACGCCAGCCAGGTCACCTCTACATTAGGGAGCCCGCCGTTACCAGCAAAACAAAAGTGGTCAAAGCAATATCTTCAGCCTGGCTTCCCCCTGTGGAGATGGTCATTGTCGTGGGTGCCACCGCTGTGAGAAGGCCTCTTCTGGTTTGGACCCTGTGATGTTTCAGGGACAGAGAGACAGTCAGTCGTCCTCAGGAAAAGGCCCCCGGCTGTTGACAGGGATAAATGAGTAAACAGTCACCCCACTTATCAGAGAGCAGCCAGGCGGCAGCTCGGGCTGTCCGTTCCTACGAGGGAGGGTGAAATGACGGACCGTTTCATGTTGTAGTGACCAGACACTGAAAGACGACATTCGCACCAGGAGCGACTGCAGAAATGTTTAGAGAAGACATCCCTGCATCCTCCTCCTGGACAGCGGGTCCCAACATGTGAAGCTCCACGTCGGCTACGTTCTTCCCAAAATGAATAGAATAATCCTACATATTAGCAATAGGTTTCCCAACTTCCGGCGACATCCAGAGTCCAGGCACGTTAGACATGACCTTCCAAAGTCTCTGTAAATAAAAACCACCATTGGAAAATGTTCTTACTGAATTCATGCAAAGAAACGAATTCACTCATTAAGAATTGCCAAATTCTACCCTAACCGGTTTGGCTCAGTGGATAGAGCATCGGCCTGCGGACTGAAGGGTCCCAGGTTCGATTCCGGTCAAGGGCATGTACCTGGGTTGCGGGCACATCCCTGGTGGGGTGTGTGCAGGAGGCAGCTGATCGATGTTTCTCTCTCATTGATGCTTCTAACTCTCTATTCCTCTCCCTTCCTCTCTGTAAAATATCAATAAAATATATTTATTAAAAAAAAAGAATTGCCAAATTCTGGAGGGATCAGGTAGGGAGAAAAATATGTAATTTACCAAATTGCTGTTAAAATGCTTTCTTCTGCCTGGAACACGAAAAGTTTAAGAATCAGCAATACTTTCAGCAAAAGTTACAAAAACGGTATAATTATTTTCAATTCATTCAGCCCCATAAGCAGTTTTTTGTTACTCTTGATTTTTTCCTGCCAGTACTTCTATAAATAAAGATATTCTATTGAGTTCTAATAATTTTTATCCAGTTCGAAGGGGACGATCTGAAAATGTCCGCGTCCTTTCCATGGATCCTTCAGAAGATGTAACATTTTTCTTTTTCTTTTTTTTTCTTTTTTTAAAATATATTTTATTGATTTTTTACAGAGAGGAAGGGAAAGGGATAGAGAGTTAGAAACATCGTTAAGAGAGAAACATTGATCAGCTGCCTCCTGCACATCTCCTACTGGGGATGTGCCCGCAACCCAGGTACATGCCCTTGACCGGAATCGACCCTGGGGCCCTTCAGTCCGCAAGCTGACGCTCTATCCACTGAGCCAAACCGGTTTTGGCAACATTTTTCCAAATGCGTTATAACAAAAGAGTGACTGTCCCTAAATGACAAAAAGAGATTTAAAAATGACACGGTTATGGATTTTATTATATGCAGATGACATGGAATCTTGTCCTTTCTGGAAAACACAATATTCCAGAATAATAAGTTAGAATTATGAATGAAAGCATATCAGAATCTACTTTAATAATATGCCCATATAAATAGAATATAGTTATTATTTCTTTATTTGACAAAGTTCACATGCACCTTAATTATAAAATTTTTCTTCATAAGGAGAAAAAACAAATCCTTGAGGCATTCCAGGGCCTATTGGAATGACCTAAAGCCAATTCTAGGTTAAAAAAAAAAGTTTCCTAAAATTCAAACCCTGGAAAGGTTGTCAGACTTATTTAGCAAAAGATTATATATCATTGCTGGGGTCCAGCCCCAGCAGATCCAGGGGTCCCCAAAGGTGTGGACGGAGTCGGCGAAGAAGGAATGACACGGAGACAGCGTTCAGTTGATCAGCAGCCTTGCCAGGATCTCTAGCCACAATCTCCAGCCAAGTTCTGTGTCCATGTTCTCTTGCTAGGT